CCTGCAAATAACATAAGCTTAAATGAACTTTCATTCTTAAGTGAAATACTTGACGCTTGGTATGTCTTGTGCGGTAGCCGGTCATAATATCAAGCAAATGACAACAGATCGTCCCTGGTCCTGAACCTGACTGAAAAACGCTGGCTCAAACCTAAAGGAACTGGCTTGATGTTGAAAGTTCAGAAGCAAACTTACGACACTTTGAGCCGAGGAAGCCCCAGTAATTTGGAAATTTACTAATACTTAGCAAAACAATCCGGCAATTGTCTAAAATGCTGAAGGGAACTGAACTGTGACCCACAGCCATCCTCCGGGTGGGAATGAAGAAAACCCCGACACCATTATCTAAAGACTGAATCACCAAATTCAAGGCAAGAAAGAACTGCAGCAGCTGGGACAGATCTGAATTTCAGTGAAGTATTCCAGGATCATGCAATTTTCGTCAAAAACGAAAAGTCTGAAAGCACAGGAGAGAACGTGAGAAGCCGAGAAAGGCACCGAGAGCACGGGGTAGGGAACCTAAGGAGGCTGTGCCCAGGTGAGGCCGGAGGAACCCACTGGCCCAACCACGCCCGGGGACTGGCTCCCCGCGGAGGGGGCGTGCCTCTGCCCGGTTCTGCCTAGGCGAGCTGGCACTGCCCTCCGCTGCCTGCACTGAAACAAGGCCCAGCTTGAGCTCGGGAGGGAACTAACTGCCTGTCTGTCAGCCAGGACGCGGCGGGGCCACTTTTCCAGGAGTGTTGATGGTGCAAGGATGATCTCTGCACATTCTCTGGCCCGGTCCCCATTTGCAGCCAAGGGCACGCCCTTCAAGGTGGCCAGGGCAAGGGCTGCAGTCAGAGCCATGCCTGGTCTACTCCAGAGGCGCCCCTCTGCTGGGTCCCCTGAGCACCCAGCCCCCACGCAGCCCCCTGGAGCGGTGGCTTGTCCAATGCGACACACCCAGTTAGCATGCAGGCCCATTGGAGCCCCCGTCTCCCAACCACAATCACCAGTCTACAGCCCTTCCCACCACATTCATTTTATTTTATTTTTGTTACCAATGTTTCTCCTTCTTTACCCCATTGACACCTTCCTCCCCATCCCCCCCGCCCCGTCCCCGGCTTTGTCGTCCATGTCCATTGGTTGTGCGTACACGCATGTAAGTTCTCCCTCCACATTTCCTTGGCAGTGGTCTAGCAGAGGGAATGAGTGGGGCCGGACCCTGCAGCAGACACTGCGATGAAGTCTGTGAACCCAGAGAAATGAGGTTCTTTGACCTGTCAGGGGCTACTTCTTAAGGGTGCGGATGGGAAAAAAACAAAAGCAAGTTTATACTCATAGGGAAACATAATCTGTGATTATAAATATTTTATGAGCAAAGAAAGCAGTACTGGCTGAGAGACCGGGGTGTGGAGGGTGGACAGCAAATTAGATCCCAGTTTGCAAAGTGATAGGGCAGCTGGAAAAGCAGCAGCGCTGAGGCTATTCTGGGCTGTCCGCGGCGAGGGCCTGCGTCACGATCGGAACGTGGGCTCTGGCCAGCGGCTTTGTGGAAACCGTGGCCTCCCAGCAGTCAGCAAGAACACCTTGGGAGGAGCGGCTGAGCCCGTGGAAGACCAGAAGAGAGGGCAGCAAGGACAGTCGTTTGAATGCCTTGGGTAAACCTTACCCGTGAAAGGCGGGCGAGGGGATGCAGCGGAGCAGTCGCCCGCGAACTCGTGAAAGGATGCACGCACTTTCTGCTGACTAAGGGTAAAGAAAGAAGTGAGCCCAACTCCAGAAAGAAAGTGATCTGCAAAGCTAGAAAGCAACTCGGGTCAAGCTGCCCGGGTCAGAGCAAAGGCCCAGCCCCTGAGCAGATGGTTCCTGGCTGACAATTTCAATCCCACTTTTCCTTTACGTCAGGACAGGGGTCTCTTCCTCCTGCCGTTTTTGGGAAGCAGCCCAGAAAACAGAAAGAGCTTGCTAGCACCAACTGCTGCAGCCGAAGACATTCACCACTGGCAAAGCAGGCCTGGTCTGGGTGTGCTTCCTCCTCCTTGGCCACAGGCGCCACTGCTGCAGACCATGTCACAGATGCTAGTGGCCCTTCCAGAGGCCAGATGGAGAGGGATATTAGCTCCTAATACCCAGAGGTGCTCGGAATCAAGCTTAGTCAGAGGAGCCCTGGGGAGCACTCAACAGGGAAGACGGAAACTAAAGCCTTTGTTACCTTCCCTGCAGTCAGGGCGTAGCAGACAAGCAGCTCCCGAGCGTACCCACTGAACACGGGAAAATTGGATCATTCTCCTCTAGGATCACAGCCAGTGAGAATCAACTCAAGGTGGGGAGGACTCATCAACAGCAAAAGACCCCATAACGTTGTGGGAAGACCTGAGTTGGAAGTCACGGGATCTGGCTTTGAGAACAGCCTTAACACCTACTAGTTGTAAGACCCTGAGAAATTATATGACCTCTGAAACTCAGTGTCTTCACCTAAAAAACAGGACCAGTGCCTGCCAAGCGTAAGGACTGAAGCACACCAAGAATATGCATATACATATAAATGCTTTCAAAATAGATCCTAAGTGCTATTCCAATTTAAGAGATTATTTATATCCAGCTACCTACTTGACATCTGTTAAATGTCTCAAAGGCACATCCAGATCCCCCCACCCCTCCTCCCCCACTCTCAGGCCTCTCCTAGGGCACCCAGCTCGGAGTTCGTCAGGACCAGCCGTACAGCCAGAAACCTCGGACCCATTCTTGACCCTCCCCGCCATATTAACACAGTACCAAGCCCAGTTAACTCTTCTCCCTCCATCACCACCATCCTAGTCCAACATGTCACCATCTTGTAGTCTCCAACAAAGCCTATGCCCACCCTGGCCTCCCCCGCCCCTCTCCACAGAGCACATCTAACCATGTCCCCCCTCCCCCCCTGCCCTGCTTGCTAAACATGCTACAACAGTGTCCCGAGCCCTCCGATAAGGAAACCTTCCCGGGGCCTTACAAGGCCCTGCCTGGCTGGGCCCTGCTCCTCCTCCAGCCTCACCTTACACTATGCTCACTTTGTCTCCCTGCTCTAGCCACACTGGCTTTTTCTTCAGTCTCTGGTAGTTACCCCATTCCCTCCTACCACAGGGCTTTTGCACATGCTCTTCCCTCTGCCTGAAACACTTCCCCTTTCTCTCTCATCTAGCTAATGCCTATCCATTTATTTTTACTAAGGTATAAAGTACACAAAGTGCATTAAACTGCACAGCTTTGTAAGTAGTTACAGGTGCCTAATTCATGTGCCTGCCGCCCAGATCGAGGTCTAGAGCAATTCAGCCCCTTTTTCAGTCCACACTCCTCCCCACTCTCAGGTGACCGCTGCTCGGACATCTATCACAATGCCTGTTCATTCTTCAGAATGCAGCTAATGAACCCTTTCTCAGGAAGCTGCCTCCAATCCCACTGGACAAGTCTAATCCCTCAATCATAGGCACCTGTTACACTGAGCGATCTGCATTTAAGTAACTAAGTGATCTGTGTCGATTCCCTGCAGGACACTGTAAGCTCCACAAGAACAAGGACCACAATCTGCTTATACTCACCTGTTTCCAAATGCTTGCACATCATGCCCTGGCCAGTTTGGCTCAGCAGTTAGAGCGTCGGCCTGCGGTCCGGAGGGACCCGGGTTCGGTTCCCGCTAAGGGCATGTACCTCAGTCACAGTTTGTCCCCGGCCCTGGTTGGTCGTGCAGGTGGCAGCCACTCGATGTGTCCCTTTCACATCGATGTTTCTCTCTCTCTCTCTCTCTTCCTCTCTCTCCCTCCCACTCTGTCTGTACAAAGAATGGAAAAATGTCCTCGGGTGAGGATAAAAAACAAACAAACAAAAAAAAACAAATGCTTGCACATCCTCAGTAAGTACACAAAGTACATTAAACGGCACAGCTTTGTAAGAAAATAGCAAATTCCTACTTATTATTGCCAGGTATTGACAGGTAGTAACTCTTTCAAATTTATTTTCATTTTATTTATTTATTTATTTTGAGAGAGAGAGAAAGAGAAAGGGAGAGAGCAAGATGGAAACATCGATGAGAGAGAACATCAACTGGCCGCCTCCTGCATGCCCCTCACTGGGGACTGGGCCCACAACCTGGGCATGTGCCCTGACTGGGAATCAAACCGGTGACCTCTTGGTGCATGGGTCAACACTCAATCACTTAGCCACACTGGCCAGGCAGGTACTAACTCTTTTAACTCTCACATCAGCCCTATCAAGTAGTACCATTATTATATCCCCATTGTACAGATGAGGAAACTGAGGGACAGAGGAGTTGGATAACTTGCCCAAAGTCACTAAGTAGTAAGTGGTGGAGTGAGGATAAAAACCCAGGCAGTCTGGCAGTATGTGACTCTGCGTCTCAGAGGCCACTGGAATATTTAATGAGTTAGTGACCAAGATATTTTGAATGAATAAATGAGTTAATGAGGTTTCATCAAAGGAACCAAGAGAGACCCCAAACCTCCCCAAGGAGACCAATAAATAATGGGAGATAAGTTGTCATTGAATCACCTGCACAGGCCCAAGATTAGGTCATTTGCGAAATACAAGGGCTAGTCCGTTCCCCAACGGTCAAGGAAGGAAGCTTCTGCTCTCGGCAGAGGAGCACTTTGGTCCCTGGGTGGGGGGGACTCCACAGCAGAGACAGGAGTACTGTCTGGGTTCTGTCAAGTGCCTAAAGGCAACAAACATCCCACTAGATTATACAAGTCACTCTGCTTATTCGTGATAACCCAGTAATCTTTATAACCATTTTCATCTCAAGCCCTCCGACACAGAAAGAAGATACTTTGAATTTGAATGGGGGAGGGGGGGTGCCTGGTTAGACGTGGCAGAGTCCACTGTACATTTACAAATGAACATTTGGTCTGTAGCTTGACCCTCCTGAAGGAGCTCACAGGCTGCTCCATGCAAACACTACACCCTGTGTGGTCAGACATGGGTCGACCACCTAGAGCTGCTTCAGTGCCATTTACCCCACAACCACATTCCAGGAAGCTCAGGAAGAAAACAGGTGAAAATGTTTATTTCTCACAGGACACTGTTCCCCAGCCCCTGGACCCCAAGCCCCCCATCAACAAAGGCGCAGTTTTGGGAACTGCTCCATTCATGAGCCCCACTGCGGCTGGCGGCCGGGCTCTGCTCACACAAAGTTCTGAGCAATGGCCAGCACCTTGGAAAACTCGCCTTCCCTCTGGCGCAGGCTGGTAGGGATGGGTGTCTTAATTCGGGTCCCCACAGGGTTCCCATTGTCCTCAATGAGGACCACGTTATTGGAGTCAAACCTAGGGGTCATGCGAGGACCGGGCATGCGATGGCCCACAATGAGCGCCTTTTTCTTCTGTCCCTTGATGGCCAGCAGTATCCGGTCACCCACCTTGCCCACCCCACTCTTGTTATAGACGTGGATGCAACGAGGAGGGCGGTGGTATGGGGTGTTGCCCAGGGCACTGTTGTCCACCACACGCACCCGCGTCATCTTCTGAATTGCTCTGAGGGTCCCGCTGGTGCTGGTGGGAAAGAAAAAAGTCTGAGGTCTGCGTCTCTCCTGGTCCGGGTGCAGAGGCCTCTGGGGGCCAGGCTCGGGAGAGAGTGCGCATTAGTAACAACACGCCGAACAGAGAGCCCAGGGCTCCGACAGAAAGTCAGGGCTTCTGAGGACTTCTCGGTACCCAAGACAGTTTCCACGCAGACAAAACCTGCTGTGTCAGGTCAAGATCTCCATTTGGGTGGGTTTTAAAGAGAACCCGCTCTTCTGTTGCAACAAACTTCATGGCAGCCTCAATTTAAAGCCTGTGGTTTCCAAAAGGACTCTCAGTGTTAAGGGAACACCTTATGGGCCAGGCCTCACCCACTGCCTACCTTGCGAAACCTGCTCCCCCAGAGCATGCTGATCCCCACATTTTCTTACCTACATGTGGCTGGGAACCAGGAGATATGAGTGAGTAGGTATGCCAAGGGAGCCCCTTAACACAACACAGCAGAAACTGGAAATAGGGCAAGGTAACAACAATCTTTTGTTTTAATGCATTTTTCCCCACAAGAAAGAAATTTTTTATCTTATTTTTTATTTTATGAATTTTTTTTTAAATGGGTACCCATTAAAGGCAGATAAGCTATTATTAAGTAATCTGATGAGAGTGGGGTTTGCATTTTCCTGATGCTAACACCGTAAGTGCTGGTGTTCTCCAGGGTAATCCTCTCGTCTCCTTCCACGTGCCTCCTCTGGGCGGTTTTATCTATTCCCATTGCTTCCAACTAGTAAATTCCATCTCCAGCCCCACTTGTCTCCAGTGTTCTAGTCCTGCATTTCCGTTCTAAACTCACAGTGTGTCCTACAGATGCTGCAAACTCAGGGGTCCCACACCGACCTCCCTGCCTCCCCTTGCAATCCCCCCCTGTGGCTGCATTTCCTATGGAGATAATGGCTTCCCAGAAAGTCCAGCCCCCAAGTCACACACCTCTCTCTCCATCAACATCCACTGCTGCCAAGTCCTACTGATACTACCTCCCAAGCATCTCTGTGCTCTCCCTCCACCCCATCGACACTTCTGAATTCAGCAGCTCACTCTCTTACACCAAGGTGATTACATTAGTGTCCTAACTGGTTCCCACTCTACCAACTAAGAGCTCTTTTTAGAATATAAAACTGGGGCCACTCCCCTGCTTAGAAGTGTTCGATGGTTCCCCACTGTCTACACTGTCAACAACCTGGCCCCAATTTACCAACCTTCTGAGGTCCGTCATCTCCCACCACTATACACTGGCTCTGGGCCCCGGTGGCCAGCAGGCCCTGCTCTCCAAGCACATCACCACTCTCAGCCCCCCTGGAGGCCTGCACAGGCCCTGCTCCCTCTTCCCTTCCGGCAGGGCTGCTTCCACTCTCCCTTCCTGCTCCTCCTCCATTAGCAGCTCTGGTCTCAGGCCTTCAACAGCACCATACAAACCTCTATTATTATACTTGTCACATTTCCTTAGAGTTATTTGTTTCAAGTTTGCTCCCATGGCCAACTGTGAGAACTCTTTCAGGGCAGGAAGCAATTCTTATTCATCTCTCTATGACCAACCCCAGACACAGTGCTCAGTCAACGCTCGTGAAATGAGTGCACAAACGGGGCCAAAAGGCATGTTTGCCAACAGGAATGCACCCCATGCTCTCCCCCTGGTTCAGCATCTAAAAGGAGGGGAGGTTGTCACACTTCCATCATGCTTGAGTTCTTGGTAGTAAGCATGTAACTTTTAAAAAATGATTCCATTTTTAAAAGAGAAGGTTTTAATGCACTGGGGGAATCACAGAGTTGAGAGATGTCAGATTCACTGCAAGTCTGGCAAGGAATGAACAGTTTCGTCTTCCACCAGACGCCATTCCCTAGCCTGCCTCCCACAGCGCCGTCACCTCCTCACCTGTGCCCCTCACCGGACCTCACTAAGCCCCAGCTCAGTCTGATTCCTCCGGCTTCCCTGACCCCAAGCCCACCTCCCTGAGTTTCCACTCCTGTTCTAATCACCACAATGCCCAGCCCTGATGGGAGGCTATTCAAAGGTGCAGCTTTAAGAACTTAATGGGAAAAGTTACCTTAAACAGCGCTGGCTGAGTGCTCTGCTCACGTGGGTGAAAGGACCCCACAGCCCAGGAAAGAAAGCCATGGGATCCCCAGAGGGCAAACCCTGCAGAGAAAGAAAGGGGAAAGTGTTTATTTTTAAGTCAGTGTCCTTACTCAGAGCCAGTTTGTTTTTTTTTATAACGAACTGTTGGGGCCCTGGCTGGTTTGGCTCAGCAGTTAGAGCGTCAGACTGTGGACCAAAGAGTCGCAGATCTGATTACCGGTCAAGGGCATGTACCTCGGTTGCAGGTTCGATCCCCGGCCCTGGTCAGGGTTATGCGGGAAGCAGGATATCGATGTGTCTCTCTCACATTGATCTTTCTCTCTCTCTCTCTCCTCCCTCTCTTCCACTCTATCTAAAAAAATAAAAATCAATGGAAAAATATCCTCAGGTGAGGATCAAAAAAAAAAAAAAAAGAGAGAGAGAGAGAGAAAATAAACAAATAAATAAAAGGCTGTTGGGGACTTGTGTGGGAGGTGGCACTTCCAGCCCAAGATCATTAGTCACTAAATATAAATCTTAGTGGTTAAAAGATATGCAGATGATTAGCTGGAACTCCAACTACAATTCTGCTGACTCATATTGTAACAGGGGTCAGCGAGCTGGAATGACCCACAACAGTTCTCACTGTAAGTCTCAGCACAGAGAATGCCGTTATTAGCACATCACTTCCACAGGCCAGAGGAAAGCATCAGTCCTCTGCTACACACCCAGCCAGCGACCACTTTCCAAGTCCTCTGCAGAAGAAAACCTGCACACGATTGCCCTTGTTGACACTCGTGGCCTCCTGAAGCCAGAACTTTCACTCCCTGAAAGAAAGCAGATGATCTGAGCAGCTGCCCAGGTTGTCTGTCACATCACCTTTCCCCCAGATGTATAAGCCAGAACACCTGGACAGCTCAAGGCTAGCAAAGTAGAACCAAACGATGCCCTTGCCAAGTTACTGACCAAGGTCTCTATTTGGGTCAGTCTCCCAAGCAACATTATAACACAGAAAAACTACCTACCCACACTGCGGCCAAACGTTGGGTTTAGGAGAGCAAGGTGGGGGTAAAAGAGCAAATCCCAACCCAACACTGATCATTCCACCTTGCAGAACCTCAACCCGTGGCTCCCTAGAACCAATGAACATGACAATCCCATTTCTGGCATCAGTTAGGGGCGTGTTTAAGAGAAAACCTATAGCCAGGTAGTATTTCCAAATGCAAAACATGCCTGTTCTCCCTCCAGATGTTTGGCTGCAGAGGGCCTCATCCGAGAGCTCTGCTGAGAGAGGCCTCTACCACTGGAGTATTTACTTACAGCTTTGCCTTGCCTAAGTTCAAAGCACCTCAGATAAGACTTTATTTCATAAGGGCGGGGGAAACCCCTCTATTTACTTCCACAGGAATATCCAGACACTTCAGAAATGCTTTTAACTATAATTTAGCCTCAAATCACAAGCTTGCTCTCCAGTGTTTTCTTTTGAACAACGCAGTAAGCATTGGCCAAAATTGAATTATGGTCAGAAAATTAAGAACAAAAGGAGTGAGCTCACTTCTGACATCCGACACACAGCATTAAGGACTCTGAGAGGAGGCAAGTTTCACCTCGACAGCTGGTAACCCTACAGAAGGAGCTAGGAGGGAGCGTTGGTTTTCCCGTCTGTAACACATACGCACAAGATGCTCATGACATAAGCCACTCCAAGCACAGAGCAGTGCTGGGCACTCAGCAGTCATCGTCATCATCATCTAGTCACCTCATTTCCCAGATTAGGAGCCTGAGATACAGAGAGATGAAGTGACTTATTATAAAGCCCCACAACTAGCCAAGGTCAGAACCATGACCCAAAGTGGACCCAGCTTCCGTCCAAGGTTCTTTTTACCACGCCCCACAGCCTCACTGTACCATACAAAACTCACTTCACACAAGGAAGCTCAGGGTAAAAAGCAGCTCTAAGGGTGATCTGGTCTTTTTCTGTTTCCTTTATGAAAAATTGAGTAGTTATAATGTATCAGGCACTACACTAAATGCTTTACATTACCATCTCATGTAAGCCTCGGAGAACTCTATCAAATGGGCGCTATTATTAGCCCCATTTTGTACATGAGGAAATGAAGCCCAGAGAGGGTCATATGGTCAAGGTCATACAGCTGGGAATGACAAAGCCGCAACCTGAACCCAGGCAGTCAGCTTCCGGAACCCATGCTCTTCGCCCACATGTTAACAGGGTAACTTTAATGTAAACATTAATATTTTTCCAACTGTTAAATCATCCTTATTCCTTATTCCTTCAAGAACAGTGACACCGCAAACATTTTACTCATACCCAACTCAACACTTGCTGGGTCAACTGAAATGCAGACGGACACCAGGGGAAAATATTCACTTTAACTCAATTTAAGTTGTAAGGACAATGTGCGGTGTCAGTGGCAAGAAGAGCTCTATACTTGAGCAAGAGCTGAAAAGTGGCTTTACAAAAAATAAAATAAAAAACCAACAACATAGCTCTGAAAAACAGTCCTTGGGGTCCAGGCTGCAGTTACCTCCAATCTCAGCCAAGCTTTCCCATCGGATGGGGCCCTTGCTCTGCCTCCCGGAGAGAGGAGGCGCCTCGGCTACTCCACAGAACCCTCAAGACGGGCTAGCACCACCCACACTTCCTCCCCTGAGGAGACACCCTGCCTCTTCACACCACTCAGCTTCCTCAATAGCACTCGTGTTAGTACAAGAATGGCAGAAGTGCCCAGGGGCTTCCCAGAACTTTCCTGACTTGGGTATAACAAACCCATCACTCAAGGTGCCTCCCTAAACTCTTCAGGGCAGTTTGCGCGCAAACCCAAACCCAGGCCTCTCAGTGCCTCGCTCACAAGGCTGCCAGCCCATGCCCATCTCTACCCAGCTAAGTCTGGCCTGGCTCCAGGTGCAGCTCCTCCGTGAAGCTTTGTGTAAAACTGCGGCCAGATGCCACCCCTCCTGAGCACTGCAGACATCTGGGCATCCCGTGCCAAAGGAACTCTCATTGCTCCAAACTCAAACACTGAATACATTTAGATATTTAAAAAAATAAATAAATAAAGCTGATATCCCTAAACATTCTAGTTCTTGCTACGTACTACCTCAAACTCAGAAAGAACAGAAATCTTGATAACCTGGCATCTGAACTCACTGCAGGACTAAGGAATCACACAGACTCAGGTTATGAGGATTACTTGCACTGTCCTCAAACACAGGAGTAACACATTCCCATCTCCAGGGAGCACTTATGTTCTCACAAGAAAGGGCCTGATTCAAAGCCTTTTCACTAGCTTTTGGTGGACCTAATGATGATCGTCAGACCCAAAGGATAGCAGATATCATATGGACAACAGTAAGCCTTCCTATGAACTTGAAAGCACAAAAGAACCATATATATTCACTTATTGCGCATATATCTCTCATTCCTTAAAAAAAAAAAAAAAGTCTCTGGTCACCTCTACTCCCACCCAGCAAAAGCCCTCCATAGGTATTCATGGAGCAGTGCAACAAACTCTTGTTGAATAAAATAAATGAAGGAGCCAATGAAAAGACATCTCCACTCATGGCTCCAGGCACACCATCAACCAGGGACAAACGTGTTAGGAGAACTGTGGTGCTGGTCGTGGGAGGATTAGCTCATGCTATGTTTGCAGGCCCCTGGAATCATCTTCCAGGCCTGGTGCCTACACTGCCCACTGGGGGAAAACATCTAATGCCACCACTAAATAACTGGTTTGAATCCGGGAAAAATAAAGGAGGCAGCAATTTACTTCAAAGCAACTCTGATTGGCCTTGATGTTATTTCCTAAGTCCATCCTGTAGACACAGGCCCTGGTTCACTTCAGATGTAGTCTATACATGATGCTTTGTTTCAACACCGAGTCTTACGTTTGCACAGAAAGTAACCCCGATGACATTTCCTCCTCTACAACACTCTCCCTCAGAGGAGGCCAGGGATTCAGAAAGCTCCAGGGCCAGCGATGGCTTTTCATGCCACGTTCTAGTCAGCACTGAGTACTGCCCTTCAGGCTTAGACTATGAATCACAACCTCTCCAGAAGGAAGGGGAGGGGAGGAAACAAGGAGGGTGGGCAAATGGAAGGGAGGGAGAAAGAAGGCAGGGAGGGAGGAAAAAAGGGAGGCAGGGAGGGAAGGAAGGGAAGGAAGAGAAGAAAAGGAAAAGAAAGGAGAGAAAGAAAAAAGAAAAGGAGAAGGATAAACTCCTTATAATCCCCAAGAACCATGTGCATTTCCCACCCTGGTTTAAGATCTCTCTTTAGTGGGGAGGGGAGGGGAGGGGTGTATCAGTGGGGGAAAAAGGAGAAACATCTGTAACAAAAATAAATAAATTAATTAAAAAAAAAAAAAAAGATCCCCCTTCAGTTGTGGGAGCCAGGGAGGACTGTACATTTCAGGTACACATAGGTAAGTTTTTCACTTGGCATCACCTTACAGGTCCCATTGGAAGGACGCTCAGTGAGGGCAGGGCGGTGCCTGCCTGCCTGCCCTCAATAGTGCTGCACATTCAGGACCGAGAACAGTGCCTGGCACACAAATGCAGCTCAGTGAGTATCTGTTCAATGAATAAAATTAATCTGCAATTGCACTTCTTCCTCCAGCTCCAGAAGGCTCCATATTGGGGATTAACTGCTGGTCTTTCTTTTGCCCTTCTCCTAGGCTCCCAGTGACTTGGGGGAGCCTCCTACACACTGATAAGTCATTTCTAACTAATTTTAATACACAGAGACTGAACTGAAAAAACAAACAAACAAAAAACACAAAGTGCCTACACCTCTGATGCTTTGTGGAAAACTGGAAATCACCATTACTTGAGAATCCTGAAAATGCACTTAGTATCACAGACTTATATTTAATTATACATTGTTTCCACAGGAACAATTTCCATCTTTAGGTGAGGAATGTTACATACATTTCAAAGGCTTTTCAACAGGAATGGCCTCTACAGAAAAGAGACTAAACAAATAAAAGTTCCACAATCATAAAGGAGTGCTTAAAGGAGAGTCTGTTACTAAGTAACAGTAAAGAAGCACTAACAAAAAGGAC